ACTTTTGTCTTTTCACTTTTGAGTCTACTTGTAAAGGTCAAAGAGACTGATGATAAGTAACCCTACACACACACACTTGAGAGACTTAGAATTTCTGTTTTTGCTCACATCGGCCAGGACGATATTACTATCGGCCTGGACGATTAGGTTTAAAACAGAAAGTCTAATTAAGGATTCTAAATTAAGGCAGCCGTCATTAACATATCGGCCTGGACGATACGTGTATCGGCCTGGACGATACGTGTATCAGCCAGGACGATAAGCTCAAAACAGAAAGAAGTAGCCGCCTTAAACAATTAAGGTATACTGTATTTTTAAATTATCGACCATGACGATCCCCGGATCGGCCTGGACGAAATTCTCAGATTATGCCTTAATTGATTAGAAAATCAAGGGAGTAATTAAGGATGATTGATACGATCATATCGCCCTGGATGATCGCAGGATCGGCCAGGATGATATAGTCAAAAACCTTAAGTTACTTCAGGACAATAAATATCGGCCAGCTCAAAAACAGGGCGATGCTCAGGATGATTTGCCTCTGATTTGAACTGATCGGCCAGGACGATCGTGAGATTGGCCTGGACGATCAAGCCAAAATTCAATCATCTTCCTCGTTTCTCTTCTCAGCACTCTTCTACGAATATATCCTAAACCCTAATCTAGAAAAAATCCATCAATCTCATAATACACAAACAAGGGCGGTTTTTTTTTTTTGAATTTTTGCGTGGACCCCAGTTTGGGTTGTCGAGCTGCACAGTAAAAGATAAATCACCCATTAAATTTTGGCTTCTGGGCGGGTCGGGTCGTCGAGTTGTCGGTGCGTAACATGGCATCTCTCTATTGGCATCCGAATATTGAGCTACGTCCTGCGTCCACTTCAAATAATTTCCCCAGACAATGACCATCATTAGACACTCGACAAAGGCCCACAAATGATTAGAGGCAGTGTGAAAAACGCGAAATGACTTTCTATTGTATATGAAAATCTAAAATGAATCAGTTTTTATGAAGAAAAAGCAAAATTATTCTTTATTTTCTAACAAAGTCCGAAATCATTTCACGTTATAATGAAAAAAATCCAAAAATAGTGCTGTATTGTTTTAGAAACATTAAGTAATTTTAGGTTGCTAAGAAATCTGATTTGCTCTTGAATTTTTCAATTTTTTTAAATAAATTTTAATTACACTCAGTCTACTTAATTCTATAATTCTGTTTACGGGTGCTACAAATTAAAAAATCACCTCGACTATCCAGAGAGGCTTCTTCGCCTCTTACAGCAATTTCTTTGTCTCCGAGAGATTATTACCTGCGGAGTTTGGATGCAGAGAACTACTCAGTTTTGTGACTGTGAATAATAAAACCTTAGTAATTATTATTTTTAGTTTACTTATGCTTTTAATGTTCACAGTTACAAAATCGAGTGATTCTTACTGTCAATATCTACTTTTTCTCCTACCTAGAGCTAAACATGCTGAAAAAATTCTTTGTTGCCGGAACGATCGTCCGATTGAATCCACCTAATAAGATTAACGGGGATTTACTAGATCCTTTTAAATTTTTTTTTTTTTTTTGAGAAATTTTGGGGCCTGAGCCCATTTTATAAAATATGAAGAAAAAAATACATAATTACAGGTATAAAAGAAAAACTAGCAACAAACTAAAATAATTAAATAGTTGCCCGCATAGGGTATTGTCGTGGACACAACTCATCTTAGTCTGTTGGTTGAGAGTTAATGCTTCCAACTAAGACGTCTTGGATTCGAGTCTTTGTGTATGCGTTATGTCTGTGAGTTTACCTTAAATGGCCTAAATGTCCCAAAAGGGTATTGTCGTTGGCCGTGACGGCATTACAACTGTGGGTTGCATGGTCGGCCACATGGCTATGATGGGCCCGTCGCATTGTCTCCTCAGAGCTGGATAGCAGTCCTTTTTCTAGAGTCTCGGACAGTTTTTTCCTACAAATGCTTCTGCTTTTCTGTCTGCTACAATATATGTTTTTCTGAAGTTATAAATAAGTTCTTTTTTTAGGGCTCCTTCAAATTGAACCAAGTAAATAGGTAAATTCTGCATTCCATGGAGTACTGGGCTGATTCCAAGAGTCACCATCATGAAAAATGTAATAGACACAGGAGGATTATTAATCCTGCGTTCCATATAGAGAAGCTGAGGGTAGTCAAAAATCCTAGACTTATATTAATTGCACTTAAGTGAATTAATAGAATATGCACTGCTAAAGAATAAATAAAATTTAGTTAGACAGTTCCTTTAAAAACTTTATTATCTTAAGAAAGCGAAGAATTTTTTCCAAAATTTATGATATGTTGTTGCTTTGATAAAATTGATCTGCTGTAAAATTCTAGTGATAGTTACCAGGAAATGTTTAGTTAATTCATTCAGTATTTTTTTTTATCTCATATTATAGAGTTGGAATAAAATTTAATTCTAAATTTAAGAGTTTTATAGATTTTGAACAAATTCATAAAATTGATTTAAATAAAAATTGTGGAAATTTTCAATCAATTTTAACCAATTTTAAATTAAATTAAAATCATCAAATTTTAAATTTATGACAAACTCTTAATTGTAATAGAAAGACAAAAAGTAAAGACTTAAAAAATAGACAAAAACATCAAATTTATAGAGAAGTTTGATCCCTATTAAGAGGCATGATTGAAAAATGAGAGAGAAGGTTATCAAATATGGACAGAGAAATAGTGATGAATTGTTAGGCCAATTGATTGAGACCAATCTGAAACAAATTGAAGAGCAGAAAAAATTCAAGAAAAGTAGAATGATCACTGAATATGTTATTAAAGAATGTCAGCTCTTTTACTTCGTAGGACAAGAGACAACAAGCATTTTGCTTAATTTGATAATACTACTATTGAGTATTTATCCAAGTTGGCAGGAAAGAGCACGTGAAGAGGTTATGCAAGTCTTTGATGAAAAAGCACCAAAATTTTATGATTTAAGCCGATTGAAGATTGTGTTATTTATTACTTTGTTTGACTAGCCTTTGAAGAGAAAATTAGTTATTTGTGCGTTAAATATGTGCATTAATTTTTTCATTTGATATGTAGAAATTTATTGTAGTTTAGCTTTTAAAATTGCTTCTCTCAAACTTCAACAGTCATCAATATGTAGTTTAATGAAGAGACTTATGCTTTATTTGAATTTGAGGTGAATTTCTTATTGTTTCTTAAAGCTGCTTTTTAATTAAAAAAAATTAAATTTTTTGCAACATCATCACAACACAACACAACACAACAGCTGTTTATATGATTGCTGATGGATGAAATTGTTGGATCAATCAAACATCATCACAACACAACGTCTAGCTATGCGCTCAAATAAGGATATACCAACATTATCCAGTTTTGAATGACTAACAGAATAGCAATCTTATAAAGCAGTGATAATTAGAGCAAATGTAAACTTCATATTACAAATTAGCATATAATGATTACAAGACGTAAAAACCAACCTACTTTATCAAATATAATTAATCATGCATGCACCAATCATACTGAAACAAAATTGATTAACTTGTTTGATTTTGTTAGGCTTGTTTCTTTTAGTAAGAAGTAAATGAAAAAAAAAAATCACTCGTTACTATTGTCTAAATTAAAGAAGTATTTAAACAAGATCTTTAGATTTTTAATACTTCATTTAGATTTAGACCTTTTGACGCCAGAGCTATTGCTCGATTCTTTAGGGAACAAAGCCCTCTGTTAGCTAAGGTGGATTCAAATTTGACCCTTTAGACAGACATTCCCCCCAGGTCTACAAGGCCCTCTTGGACGAAACAACTCATGGCTGCTAACAAGGATCCTTCTGTTAGGTTGGGTCGACTATCTCCTCTGACTAAGTAAACCAGGGACCACGATGGCCCGGCACGACATAACCATGGGATCTTGATCGGGTCCATCAACCATTCCCCACCATTTGCTTTAAGTGCAAGATGGTAAAATTTCTATTTTAAATATATATATATTTTAATTCCTAACTTCAAATCTAATTCCCGAATCCAAACCCATGCTGCTACTATACGCCAGATAACATGTATCTATTTGATACTCTATGTATCTGATTGAGGACTTGCCTTAATCGAAAGTTCTCTCTGTAAGTGGGAGGGGTAATTAACTATAGGGGTTTGCGCCTATAGGAAACCAGAACTAAGATCATAATATCCTCGCAAAATGAGGGTGAAATCTCTGGGTAGTGTCTTATCTACAAATCCATTTGCCTTTCAAAATTTACCCCGGAACTTCAATTCGTTAAAACTCAAAAAAAAAAAAAAAAAAAAAAAAAAAAAAAAACAAAAGCGAGCAGAAGCCGGGGCCGAATTTTCAATGCCAACAGTCCCCATCCCCCCAATTTGATCAAGGTTATATAGATTGGCTCTCAATTCCAATATGTGGATTACATTCTTCTGGTAAAAGAAATTAAGGTTAATCTTTTTGAAGAATTCAAAGTGCATGATTGGTTCCAAGATTGGACGGTGGCAATGTTTGTGTCTTTTTTTTTTTGTATTGTAGTTTTTGTTTTAATAAACCATCCTCTTTATTCCTTTGTAAAGAGGAGTGGAATTTAGTCACTTTCTTGTAGTTTGAAATATTTGCCTTTAGCTTCTATGAATGCAAATTGCATTTTCTTAAAAAAAAAAAACTTATTTTTATGCATTGCAAAGTTTTTATCACTGTTTTTTTTTTTTTTTTTTTTTTTCAGTTTTTTTTTTTTTGCTCATGCTGAGTTATAATTTTGGTTTTAGTAATTTATGAAATTGGACTATGCTCCTATTTGTTTAAGGAAAAAAAAAATCAGGCAGCTTTCCACTCTCTGATAAATAAATCAAAGGTTTGGTATGATGTCCCATCAAAAGACCAATTATCTTATGTTGTCCCATTCAAACATAGATAATTTGTTAATTCAAGCATACATATTTAAAAACTAGTAGCTAACTTGATTGGTGACAACGTCATCGACTTCCTTTGAATCTCCTCCCTATAACTTCTAATCTCAATAGTTTATCTCTCGGATATCTCTAATACATCTCTAAGCTCTTCCCAATGCTTACTGTTAATTATCACCATCGTTTCATTATCCTGCTATTTCTTCTCCTCCCATGTATGTTTAGATGGTTTCTTCTTGCCTCAGCAGCATACAAAGTTACTCATCTCCCAGGCTTCTTGCAGCAGAGTACTTTACCTTTCAATTTAGAAACTGGGTTTGTTCTCTCTCTCTTCTTTTCTTTTTAATACAATCAAGTTTTAAATCTGACTAGTTATGTGTGCTTGTCTTCAGCTATATAGAAGTGGATGAATTTTATGACGTGCAGTTATTCTACTACTTCATAGAGTCAGAAAGAAACCCGCGAGAGGATCCACTTCTCCTATGGCTTACTGGTGGACCTGGCTGCTCTGCCTTTAGTGGCCTTTCTCTCGAGATCGGTCTGTTTCCTTCGTCTTATTCGGTTTCTCTTCTTTGTTTATGAACTTTTTTAATCGTCTTTTTATATGATTAGATTTATTTTCAATCTTGTTTTTCTCTTTCTATATCTTGGGCGTAAATAACTTGGGAGGGTGGTGATAGGCTAGTCAGCAGGAGGGTAACGGGCGAGAGACGGCGTGGGCTTCCCTATCCAAGTGGAATTTTTATTCTGTGTGGAGTCCGAAGCGTCTGGAGACCAATAAAAATACGCCACGTCACTTCAAAAATGTACCGCGCTCAGTACCAAACTTGGTACCCGCCCTCGGTATTGAGCGCGTAACCGGAATTGTCCAATGTCCGCACAAAATAATAGCTCGTGCGAGTGAGTGGGTAAGATGGTGAGGATGAGGCAGCCCAACTGGGCAAGGGCGCAACATAGTATAAGAATTTGAAGTTTGATGACTTTCAAATGCAAAGAAAGTGATTTTCACTGATCCAAATGTCTCAAAATTCATCTTATATTTATTTAGTTCAACTTAAAATAAAATCTTTAATATAAGAAAAAGTAATAGAATAATGGCCTTAGGGCATCTCCAATGTAATCGTTTGCCAATTTTGACGCTATTTCATCGTCGGTGAATATTGACGTCGCACTATTCACTTGCCATTTTTTTTAATTAAAAAATTATATAAAATGAAGTATGGGAAAGAACATAGTAGGAATATTCTTTTTTGGTGTTAGAAATTGAGTTCTGTTAGAAACAAGTTACTGCATTTTGATGTATTACTGTAATTTGGAGTGAAAAATGAATTTTTCGGTTGGAAAAGCCCTTAGTGTTCCAAACCAAACAACCATAAAATTGTATCTAGTATGTCTCTGTGCATGGATTGCTGATTTAATATTTCTTTTGCTTTAATATACATTGTAAAGGTCCATTAAAATTCATATCTGAAAGGTACAACGGGAGCTTGCCAAATTTAGTTTATCATCCTTACTCTTGGACCAAGGTGAGCTATCAATCTGTAACAATATACATAGATAAATGACAATATTTACATAATTTAATTTCAGTGGCTTATTTATTTCATAAATATGTGATTCTTCCTTTCATTTTTTTTTAATTTGTAGATTTCCAACATAATCTTCCTGGACTCCCCAGTCGGAACTGGATTCTCTTTTTCCAATCATCCAGAAGGTTATGAAACTGGCGATAAATCTTGGTCAAAACATGCAGTAATATTTCTCAGAAAGGTTGGCAAAAAATTAAACTACATACAATTTTTATTTTATAAATTATTTTTTCATGATTTAACTCTTTGTTTTTTTTTTAATTTCCAGTGGCTTAAAGACCACCCTCAATTCCTTTCAAATCCTCTGTATATTGCTGGTGATTCCTATGCAGGAAAGGTTGTGCCACTAGTGGTTCATAATATTTTAAATGGTAATAAAAAAAATTTGATGCTTATTTCTCAATATAAAAAATATTTTTTTAATCTTTCTTTAGTGAATAAATTGTTAATTTATTACCCATTTTGAACTGCAGGAAAAGACTTGGAGGAGCAGCCAAAATTTAATATCCAGGTCACCCTTAACTTTTTCTGGGAATATTATGGGCATAGGCCTGTATTCATTTACTATAAATATAAATTACAAACAGCTTGGAATCAAAAAAATCACATAGAGTTTTATTCAAAATAGGGGAAAGGGCTATCCAATGAAAGAGCAAAATGATAAAAATACACCCAAAATCATAGTTAATCAAAATATCAAAATGCTTCCTGATTGCTAGAGTGACCATTTGAGATAATATAAAATGCTTGATTGCCTGCACGGCAGTCCAAGGCGAGCAATATTAGATTAACCAAAAAATTCTCAAAATAGCCTATAATATGAAAACAAACATGATGGGAAACCATGTTGACCTCCAAAGAGGACAAAAATTAAAAATAAAAATAAAAAATTACATTAAATCATTACTTGTTGAAATACCTATGTAGCCGATGACCCATCCTCATTCCCTACTCAAATCCCGCTCAAACTCTCTGCCATTTGGCCCATTACCTACAAGGAGCCGAACTATCCTATCTCACAGCTCCTCGCAAAAATTCTGCTCAAATCGCGTAGCCTCTACTCCGTCTCAGGCTCCCGTTCGCACTATAAGAGGAAGAGCAAAGGAAGACTTCGGTTCTATTGTGTAAGAAGCTTCATCAACCTTACAACTGATCGCAACTCTTTCGCCTTTGAGCCACCATCTCTTGTTCTTGCCTCCTCCAACCGAGCCTCCTCTCACACTAGCCTGCACAGTAACCATCTCCCAAACGCCTCTATCAATTCACTTCAACTGTTATCCCCAATAGACCTCCAACCCACTCACAGACGAATCAACCTACGGCCAAACCCCTAGCCCGTCCGACCTCTAAGAACCTCTTAACAGTCTCCAATCAAACTCCACAACCTAGCCGCAAGACGACCTCCACCTTACCTGCATTTGATCCAATCGGTTGGCCTTGCCTCCTCAAATTTGTTACCCTACCTCACATCCAAGATGAACAGACACAAGCCCTCTGCCGATCTCACCTCTACCCGACTTTAGACCAACTGTCTCCGAACTCCAGTCACCCATCAAAGTCTACCCTTCCACCTGCTATGCTTGCCATTCCCAGCACCGAGCTCAACTTTCAGCACTCTACCTGATCCCCTGTCTCCAACTGTGCCCAATCGATCAAGCCCGCCTCCTCCTCCAACTTTCATCATCCAAATGCTATGCCCTGCCTGACACTTCTAATAGATACCTCCAGCTACAACTCCAGCTACCCGAAGCTTTCTCATGTACACTAAGCGCGACGTCCAGATCACCCCCGCCACTATGATGATTCCTCTTCAAGCTGCCAAGCTCCTCCGAAACCAAACTAATCCGAACCCAGTCGACATTATAGATGCACGATCGTTCACTCTTTTTCATGACCTTCCTTATTCCAAAAAATAAAAAATAAAAAATAGAAACAAAAAAGAAGAAAATTCAACAATAAAAGAAGAAAAATATTTTATAAAAAACATTTGTGCATTTTTGTAATCCTTTTCACTGTCATCATGAGTCCTCACGCAAGTATAATCCCTAGGCTTAAAATCCTGCATTCAGCTTTTGCAACGTGTTGGAGAATCGTTATACGAGTTGTCGTAGCACAGTAGGAGTGAACTTGGTGCGACGCTTATGGCTAGGCAGGTAGGCCTTGTACATGCTCTTCGTAGCATGCCAGAGGTTAATTCTAGATATGCAAAATGCCACCTTAATGCCCACAAAATTCAAACTCAAAGAAAATATCGAAGCCTGAAATACTTAAAATTGAAATAAGACATAAAATGCTTAAAGAAAAATCCATACACCATCGATAATAATTTATTGAGGTAGACAGGTTTAAAAATACTCTTCAGCTCATAAAGAGTTAGTGATTGTTAAAAAATATTACTAGAATTTATTTTAAAATAGTCTCCTACCAATAAGGATGTAGCATTGGTCCACTAATTAGTAGTTTAGCTAGATGGCTCTACAAAGAACCTGTAGTTTGGCCTTATGGCTCCATATGGTCAATGATTATGACATAAACCCTTTGACCTAGTATTTTGGTAGGATGATTTCATTGTATTTTGATTATAAACATAGCTCGTATGTTCCTCAATGGTGTCAAATTCTTGAGACATGAATCGATATGATATAATCAATAGAGAATAAATCCCTATATTAGTTAAAGTGGATTCAGTTTTGTAACCTTAAAAAAATATTCATCTCAGGTCTATAAGGTACCCTTAGATGAAGCAACTCATGGCTACCAACAAGGATCCTTCTGTCAAGTTGGGTCGACTTCCCGCTCTAACTAAGTAAACTAGGTACCATGATGGCCCGGGATGATGAAACAATGGGATCTTGATCAGGCTCATCATCCTTCCCCCACCATCTGCTTTAAGCATAAGATCATGAATTTTTTATTCTAAATATTAAATTTTTCCAAAGACATATCACATATCTGATCAACGACTAGCCTTAATCTAAAGTTCTCTCTCATTTTCGGGAGGGGTAATTAATTATAAGGACTTACGCCTATAGGAAACCATAATTCAAATCATAAAGTCCTCACAAAATGAGGGTGAAATCTCTGGGTAGTGTCTTATTTAACAATCCAATATGTCTTCTTAAAATTTACCCTGAACTTAATTTGTTAAAACTCTCCTTAAAGATTAATGGAGGTCGGGGCTCAAATTTATGGAGCCTACAAGCCACGATCATCAAGGCCTACAGAAACCATACAAAGAAAACAATCAGTCGCAAGGAGAAGCAATAGAACCCCCATAAGAAGATAGAATAAAAACTACTTATTCTAACATAGGCCATGTCATAGTTTAGGAGATGCATAACATCACAAATGTTCTTTAATTTAGATGCCTTAGTAATAATAGCTTCTATAATTTTGTAACAAATAGTAGTTGAACTAAACATGAAATGCCCAAAAGACCTAGTATTCTTCTTTTTCCAGATGAAATAAATGTAATAAAAGGTAACCATGTAGTATAATTTTTTTGCAGTAGAGGATTCATGAAGTAGATTAGAAATATGACGAAAAAGTTAAAGTAAAATTGGCCACTAAAGGAAGCCGGTAACCCATGGAATAATATGTGAGATAATTTCAAAGGAGAGATCACACTCAAAGAGATAATGAGTAATACTTTCTTCAAAATTGTTCCATGTGTGGCAAGTATAGAGAGCAGGAATTTCCCTTTTCAGTAACTTGTCACACTACAAGAAAATATGTTATTAGCGACTATCATAATAAATCACTAAAAATGATAATTTGGCAGCTAAAGAGAATGGCATTAAAAATATTTGGGTTGTTGGTCTATCATAATATCCTTGTCGACAGGAACCAGATGATAGTGAGTGACATATAGTTGAGTAGTTGATCATCCTTATAGAGAGAAAAATCACACTTGGGAGTTGAAAGGAGTGTGGAGAGTAATGGTGTAAGGAGATAATCACTCAGGGAAGAGTCCATCTGTAGGATTTATTGGGGATTCTTCATTTCAATTTTTATTTTCTTCTTCTTTTCTATATTTACTCTTTTCTCGAGTATGTAATGAAAATTATTTTTATCAATATTAAATCTATGGCCGGCTAAACTCTAGTTTTGGACAAATGATATAAAATTTTATGTATATCCTAATGTAGACTCTTAAATATAAATGTGAATTATTATTTTCAATATCTCTCATGATTAATCTAATTTGTGCAATGGTCATGTATAAATTTAAAATCTAATGTGATGCATTATCTCGATGAGGAGATGTTGGAACAAATAGTAGTATTAAAATAGAATGCTTTCATATCTAGACTTAGGCTAGTTAGGATTGTAATATTTATGGAGATATAATAAATGAAAAGAGGCCGTAAACCTTTTTTTTACACCTTAACAAGCTTGATACGAATCAAAAGGTGCATAATCTTCAATTCACAACTAGTGTACATGAGTCTGCTTAATAGAACATAGATTCATTCACCATCATTAGCCCAAAACATCTTTGTTCTTAGTTATCTTCACTATTTTTAGCATTCTCCGTAGTTCTTGTAATTATCCCTTTATTTCATTACATATGACAAAATTTGTAGTTTGAGCAGGCAATATTAGAGTCAATTGTGATTCACCTATTTTATGGTGGGTTCAACAATTTCTCATAACACTTTATTGCTTGATCGGTAGAACAGTTTTTGTAGTTATGAACATTTAGCATGTGAATTTTTAGAGGTAAACAATTTTATTATCATATAATTTTGTCACCAGTGAAGCATTAACACTTCCAAACACAAAGAATACACTCCCATCAACTTTATAAAAGGAAGTAGGAAAGATCTTGATCCATCGGACATTAACATGTATTCTATCCAACATGAGGTGGACAAGATTAGAAGGTCATTTATTAATAATTGAGACTAACTAGACCAAATCAAAAGTACCACTGTCAAAAGTAAAACTATGAAGCTCCTAAAGCTTATGAATTGGTATAGGGTCTCCACCAACTTTTTTGTGGGAGAACTTTTAACAATTAAAGTCCCCTATAATTATCCAAGGGAAGGAGGAGCCCTACGCATTTTTAATTCAAGTCTTGCCATAAAGTTGCACATTCAAGCCCTATAGTTATATACATATACAACAATAAAGAGAGATGAAAGCCCGATGAAATATGACAATGGATGCATTGGGAGGATGTGGAAATGGGGTTATACGTGATGGTGGAGGAATTCTATTTTAACCAAATCCTACCAGGATTTGAAAGAGAAAACTTACCATTATAGTTATAATAATTAAAAGTTTATGAGTAACCAAGAACCAAGGGTCAGAAGTAAAGGCAACTTTAATTTTAGCTTCAAGAATATACAAGATATCAAGACTAAATGAGTTGACTAAATCCTTACAGCCTTGGACTTTTTTAGAGTTATTAAAACCCTGCATATTCCAAGAAGCTGGACGATCAAACATCATCTATATTTATCGTATGGTACGATTATCACATACAGTACGATGAGACAAAACCCA